TATATGCGCTCTCTATTAAGCAACATATGTTACTCTGTTCTCCAGAAAGGGCAATTTTAATACTCTGCCAGTAGGAATGTGTTATGTAATGATGCATATACCAGCTGGCATTATTTTCCATCTGAAGTTATTTAAATAGTGAACTTTGCATAGAAGACAGATGTTGAAAATAGACTCCCACAAACCGAAGGTCAATGGTAAGGCTTTCATGCTCTGACAAAATAGATGTTTCTTTTCTAATTGAGATGATGAACATGTGTTTTTTGTGGGCAGTGTAAAATTAAGGAATAATCTTTATTCACTATTTAGCTGGTTGGAGTTTGCAAGTGATCTAATACTTTTTCATTAGTAAGACCACCTTTACTTTTTTTTTTCCTTGAATACTTTTAGTTTTAAACTTTGGCATATCTGAAATGTCCATTTTCAATCTTTGCCTACAGATTTTAGCTTAGAGCTTCAGCTGGAGACTGACTCTGCAAGTATGCAAGTCCAGATGGGTTTCTCTGTTGCTCTTTCCATTTTCTCTGAAATGATTTCATACCTGTCTTCTGGGATTGCCACATTGCTATAGCCAATAATTAATATAATTAACCCAAACTTGTAGTATTATTACAGATATTTAAAGATCCAGAATCATGCCCAAGATGGGTAAACTACTTGGGTTGAAGGCCAAGAAAACTCTTCTGACCTTAGTTAGCTAGTTAATTATAAGTAATACAGTGAAATGCTACATGGTGTGAAACCTAAGGGGATCATAGGGAAGTTGCACAAATCCTTTTTCCTTTCTTGATCCCAAGCTGGATGATTATTTCTGTATCATTTCTTTATTAAACAGTAGGCTGGGATTCAACTCTCCAAACCAGGGCCATTGGTAGCTAAGTTCCCTCAAGGTAGGGAAACATGTTTTTTTCCCCTTAAGTAATGACCTAAAATCAGAATGCCATATCCAGAGGGCATGGGACGAATTGCTTCCAGCTGCCTGCACCTGATTACAGAGGCACTCCTATTGCTCTTGCTGCAATGTGTAGCAAAGCTCCCCCTGACCATCTCTACCCCCTCCCGGCAGTAGAGAGGGTCCTATGCTAGTGGCTTTGAGGAACTCCACTTTTGCTTTGCCACACACAGAGTTTTGTATTGGCTTGATGAGAAGCTGGTTAGCAGCAATGGTGTGATTTTTGGCACACCTTTGGGGATGCAGGCTGTATTCCCAGCAAGGGCTGTATGGCGTTGCTTCAACATTCCTGGAAACGTGCAGGTTTTCTTCTCTTCTGAGTCAGTGCCTGCTGGTTTTGGATGCAGCAGCTGTTGCTGTGCAGACCATCTCAGGGTCCGTTTGTGACATTTCCAACCCTACAATCACCTCTTCTCTCTGCCAGCAACAGGGAAAGCTAAAACCCTAATGCTTTGCATCCCTATTAAGCTTTCTCTCTCTGTGTCACAGGAGAAGGAGGGATGTTGAAAAATGTGGGCAGACCTGGCAGATCTCTGTGTCCAGGGCAGACAAAGCTGTGGTCCATAATAACTCCAAGCCAGGGGAGTCCTGATCAGTCATACAGAGAGAGGTTTTCCAAAGCCCCATTAAGTAAATGGGCTTGCAGGGCAGGTGTTAGCAAGGGCAGGTCCTGTTGATGTGCAGCATGTTGGTGAGACAGTCTGAGATGTCCAGCAGTCTTCAGGAACAAAAAGCCCATACTGACATCTGTAGTCTGCTAGTGGAAAGGATTTGCCGTTGCTTTGGAGAAGTCAAAGGAGGTAGCATAGGGCCAACTAGATGGGTGTCCGGGGCTGGGGAGAGTCAGGGTGCGTGCAGGGCACCCAGCCCAGCCCCAAGTGCTGGTTCTGGGTTGGTGCCTTGGGCTGACTGTGACCATGAGCTGCTGCCTTCCTGGGAGCTGCAGGGGTGTGCTGGGGTGTGCAAGGACTTGTGAGATGCACCTTTCTCCTCCTGTAGCCAGTGAGCAGCGTCCTGGCAAGGCAGGTCATTGAGCAGGGCTGGTCATTGCAGCTGCTGTCACTGGTAGTGTGAACCGCTGCACTGTGAGCCAGCAGGTCTGAGCACAGATTCTGCCCTGCGTGGTTTTGGGTTGATCCCTTACAGACTCTGTAGCTCACATCTCACTAAGAGGAACTGCACAAACCTAATGCTCCCTTTGACCCTAGCCAAAGCTACTGCTTGGGGTGAAATCCCTCTGGTTTACTGAATTGGCCTTGTGAACAAGGTGGAACAAATTGCAGGCTGTGGCTGTAAGCAGTGGGGTAGCAGCACACAAACAGTGTGCCAGGCTCTGCAGAGCAGTATGTGCTCTCTCATGGTTTGGTCTGCTGCCCCTCTCTGCTGGGTGCTTTTCCTCCCTTCGTGTCTATTTGGCCAAACTCAAATTTGAAAGCCCCTCAAATCGATTGTGCATCTCCTGGCCGGTGGGACTCTGCATGCCTGCCCCACACAGCCCAGGGATGCGAGAGGTGGCTCTGCTGAACTGCCATTTCATTGAATCCTCTTCCTTGCTAATTTGTTATTAAATTATGGTTAGTGTTTCATTAGAGCCCCAGTAGGCACGGTTCATTAGTGTTTTATTGGCTAGAGCTGCACTTTGTTGCATGGGAAATGTATCCCGAAGAGCTTCTGCGCTGGTAGGAGTGATTGCGCTAACGAGCTCTGGCTGGGTCAGGGTGTGCAATAGCTTTCTAAACGCATGGCTCAGACTTGAAAAGGAGCTTGGCTCTCAGCTTGGCATCGGGACAAAGGCCTGGATTTATGCAAAGGCTTAACAAATCTGGCTGGTCAGCCCTTCTGAGAATTTGACTTCTTTGCTACTGTCGGTTGTTGCTGGAGTTTTGCCGTGAGCTGTCAACACAAGGGGACTTTGGCTTCAGCATGGCAGAGGCACAACCGCTCTCCCCCATGGCACTCCCCTCGGCCAGGTTCCAGGTGAGACTGGGCAGAATCCCCTGCCTGCAGCCTTGGATTGCAGAAGCCTCTCCGAGGAGCTTTGCATTGATTCCATCTCTGAAACACATGCTGGGCCTGGGTAGCATCTTTGCTGAACTGTCCTGGCCTTTCTGCATTGCTGTCCTGGGGCTGTTACTCACCCCAAAACCAGGATAAAAATAGCCTCTCTAACCCTGAGATATTTTTCAGGGTTGCTGTCTCTTCCAAGCCCACATTAATTCAGACTTGGGATGGCCCAGAATAGAAACGCCAGGGCTCCAGCAGCTAGGAAATGCAACTTGATGTTTATAATCAATGATCGTTAGGACCAATAAATCAGGCTGTGGCTCCACAAGGTGCCCTGCAGTTCCTCTGGGTGCTGCAGAGAGCATCCAGCTCAGCCTGTGGCTCCTGGTAAAATTGCATGCAGAACTTCAGAAGGTGCTGACTTAATTATTCTAAGGTAGCCAGGCTGGAGTTCATTTTTTCAGGGCTAAATCAGGACATTTCTTTAGTGTTAGGTACCAGACACACTGCTGTGATCTCGGTACTGGTCTGGTGTTTTAGCAAGGCACAGAGAGGGGGATCTTGGATGCAGTTTCACCTCTTCTTGTAACAACAGGGAAGAGAAATATGAGAGATGGGACTTGGAAACCCACCCTCATGGGCTTTTTGGTGAAACCTTTCTCCATGAGGAATAAGCCTGCAAGCAGCATCTGAGATTTTGAGGCTGGCTGTAGACATGGTGGGAGCCTGAGCTCTGCTTTCTCTAGCCCATCACCATGGCTTCAGCCCTGGAGCGGGTGGGCTTGCACAGCTTGCCTGGTCTCTGTACTGGGGAGGGCAGAGCTGTGTTCCCCTCTCTGTTTTCTGAGTCATCTGTATCTCCCATCCCCATCAGTGACTTTAAAATGGCTTTGAGGAATTGTATTTTCAGGGCTTTTATCATTCGATCACAGGCCAGGGCCAGCAGCTTTTCCTGCCTGCTGGCTCTGGCTGCCAAAGTTAATACATCACGCAGTGCTGGAAATGTCATACCAAGGCTCGGCGCAGACCGGAGGCGGGGCTTTGCATCAGGGCGCCTGCCCTGTGCTCCCTCTGCGGAGAGACTGGAGAAATAATGAGAGGATCAATTAAATTCATCTTCCTCAGGTGTGTGAGGTGCAAGTTGTAGGGCTGTTCTGCTCCTGGACAGCAGAGGATCTGTCCACATGGCTGTGCACAGCACCCTGCATGTGGGACCAGCACACCGGGTGCCTGATGTGGGTGCACCCATGGTAGATGAGTTATAGGACTTGCCAAAAGTCCCACAGCAGGAGGTTACTCAGCCTAAATGGCTCATCTAGCCTTTTCACCCACCGGCCCCCTCCCTGCTTGCAAAATTTTAAATGCAAAAGTGGCTGGATTTTGGGGGATCTCATTCTCTCGTTGGGCTGGACCAGAGCTTTGTGTTTAGTCACTGATCTTTGGAATTTTACTGTTGTTTGTTTTTTTTCCTGTCCAGTGGCTTCTAATTGAAGTGGGTAGTGGCATTATCCCGTCTCCTCTGGAGATGTTCATAGGGTCCTCAGCAAATGTTCAGTTTTATACTGAGCCCAAAACCCCACCTGAAATGCCATTTCCCTTACCAGAGCTAGCAATAGCCACAAGGCAGCAGGGCAAACCCAGTCAGGCTGTGGAGCCCCGGGGCCTGGCAGGGCTGGGGAGGTGGTGATGCCTCTCCAGGGAGGTACAGCCCTTCAGAGGGGCAGAGTGAGTGCCTTTGAAACACAAATTAACATTTTGAGCAGCATCCTTCACTGAGCAAAATATTATCCGCATCCAGAGGCCCAACTGCTTCAGAATGTGCTTCTCCAGATCCTGGGCACAGGGATGCTATGGGGCAAAAAGGCTCCCTGTTCTCTCTGAGCATGGATGTGCAGGCTGGTGCGGGCATGTGCTCAGGGAGGCATGTGGGGTTGGGGAAGCCTTTCCCCGTCCCTCTTGCCCCTTCCTGTCGGAGCCTCTTCAGCCCTTCCGGGACTTTTCTGGCCTAGGAAGGCTAATTCAGGTTTTCTTCCAACCCCCACAGTATGAGTTTAAAGCCAAGAATATCAAGAAGAAGAAAGTGAATCTCATCGTGTCAGTGGATGGCGTGAAGGTCATTCTGAAGAAGAAGAAGAAGGTAGGCAACCCTAGTCCCTGAGGCAGCAGTGCCTCAGCAACAGGAGCCCTCCCCTTGTGGCTCAAGGACCTGCAGCGTTCTTAAATTTCTGGAAAACACTGGTGGGCTGGGAGAAGGGATGGGCTGGGATCAGCCATGGATCAGCTGTGGATGAGCAGTGTTCCCACATGGTGCCTGAGCCAGTCCTAATGCCGGTGTAGAAGGGGCTTGGGGGCCCTCATGGGAGGTGATGTGAGATATTGCTGGTCCCTAGCAGGACCCGGCCCTCAGCAAAGGGTTGCAGAGGAACAGCAGCAATGCTGTGTGACAAGAGCTTCCCAGGTCTGTCCCTGGACTGTCTCTGCTCTGCCCTTGATCTCAAGGGCAGCATCTGATGTACTCATTTTCAGCTTCTTTTGTTGCAGAAAAAAGAATGGGCCTGGGATGAGAACAAAATGCTTGTCATGCACGATCCCATCTACAGGTAAGTCTGCCTAGTGAGGAGACAGAGACTTGGGTGGCTCTGCCATGGCATTTACCCCATGCTGGCGACTGACCATGGAGAGCCACTACTATGCCCACGGAGGGCAGCTTCCCTCACTTGCTGTGCTCTCCAGAAGTCCCCAGCTCTCTTCCTCCCTCTCGTTGGCAAAAGCTAAGAGCGTGGGATAGCTGTGTCCTGAGGAAGCTGAATGGGAGCAAAGAATGGCCCCAGCCATGCTGGAGAGGGGTAGGCAGGTCCCTGATCAAGGAGGCCAGCTCTCTGAGCAGGCCATGCAGAGGGGTGTGCTGCCTTTGCAAAGTGCTTGCTACTGCTGAGTCAGCAAGCTAATTTTCCCAGCCAAGGCAAAACCTCTGCCAAAAAGATTTCTGATGGGTTTTAGCAGGGACATGCTGCAGAGGCTGGGCATCTGCCAGCACCCCAGGACATGCCCTGGGAAGCGCTGGCTGTGGCCTTGCCTTTCTCCTGGACACTGTGGGTAATATGTGGTAGATGATATCCTACCCTCCTTTCTGATCTTGCAGGATATTCTATGTATCTCATGACTCTCAGGATCTAAAGATCTTCAGCTACATTGCCAGGGATGGATCTAGCAATGTCTTCAGGTGTAACGTCTTCAAATCCAAGAAGAAGGTAAAGATATTGGGATGCACATCCCGCTGTCACATGGTCTTGGTGGGGTGGCTGGGGCAGGACACTGTGGCACTGTGCTGCAGCTAGTGTCCTGGAGCACTCTGGTGATCTGAGCTCTGGTGCCTCAGTCCCTGCAGCAGCACACAGAGATCCCCAAGAGCTGTGCTGGGCTGGGGAGGTCACAGGGCAGGGGAAGCCCACCTGAGGTTACGTTCCTCCTCTCCTCACCTGCTGCAGAGCCAAGCCATGCGCATCGTCCGGACGGTGGGGCAGGCGTTCGAGGTCTGCCACAAGCTGAGCCTGCAGCACACCCAGCAAAATGCAGATGGGCAGGAGGATGGGGACAGTGAGAGGAATGGGGACGACCTGGATGTCCCAGGTACTCTGTGAGGGTGGAGGTGGGGATGGTGTGGGGGCCCTGGAGCCTGGCAGATGTGGTCACTGTCTTCCCATACCGATCCTTGCTGGCTGACACCTGTGGGGAATGGATTTGCACAGCAATCTTGCCTGTGGCACCTCGGGCTTAAGCTGGGATCTTGCCCAGCAAGGAGCCTTCACTAGGTGTTAGCCTTCATCCTTGCAGACATCCTCCTTGCTGGGAGCCCATTAGCAGTGCCTGGGACTCTGCTGGGTGCTTAAGAACCCTCTGTGCTCAGCTGCACACACCACAAATGTTTCCTTGCTGCTTCCACAGAAGCAGCCCTAAGCACAGACCTTCCCCATGTCCCAAGACACTCGCAGGGTGGGTCTGGCTCTTTGCCTCGGACCTAGCTCTCAATCCGTCACCACTTCTGCAATTCCTGCGTGTATGAATCCATGCTTGGGATCTTCCATCAGGCTCCCAAGGCTGCAGGCAGCCCGTAGGACCCCCCCTCCCTTGTTAGTCCCATAGGTGGAGGGTGCAATGATGTTCTGGGATGGGGGTTGCTGGTTCACTCTCTCACCATGGGCTTGGCAGCGCTCCAGGGAGCTGCTGTCCATCTCCAGCACCCGTTGGGGTGCTGGCGGGTCCTACTGCCTGTCTGTGTGTGGGGTGCCTGTCCTACAGCCCCCTGCTGGGATGCTAGATCTCCCCCATTCTATCAGGAGCAGCCTGGGCTGTGCAGTGATTTCCTGCCTGCCTCTGCAACCAGCAATGTCATGATGACCTAATCCTTGGGCTGTCCTAGACCAGTCATTGTTTGTTTTTCCTCCACACAATGTCCTGGCCACGATATGCAGTTCCCTGGGGATTTCTGAGCATCTGGGGTTTTTTTTGTCCCCATAATCTCTTGTTTACCTCTCTTTAGCTTACTCTGTGTATTCTGCTCTCAGTGGCCTGTTTCTCTCGCATCAGGGGTTCTGGCTGCTACTCCCCAGGTTTGGCATGCTGGGGCTGGGTGTGTTTTCGGCCATAAGCCCCATCCCAGGTGGCAGCAGGAAGTGTGGCTGTGTTGCTCTGTACCTGCTTCCCCCATGGAGCTGAAGGGTGGGTGGCATGGGGGTGGTGGGGACCGGTGGGCATCGCTGGCCATACTGTGGGTGCGTCGTAGCAAGCTCCTGCTCCAAGTGGGCTGTGCTGTGCTCTGACACCGCTCCCGCAGCCTGCCACCTCACCAGTGCGGAGAGGGTGGCCGCCTCAGCGGAGGAGACAGACATTGACGCTGTGGAGCTGCCCCTGCCGGGGGCCGACATCCTCGACTTCAGCCGTGGTGTGACTGACCTCGACGCTGTGGGCAAGGAGGCGAGCGCCTATGCCGACGTGAAGGTGCGTGGGTCCCTGCCCCACATGCTCAGGGTATGGTGCAGCCCACGCCCTGTGTCTCTGATGTGCATCCCTGGAGCCTGGGGATCAGGAAGGATTGCGCAGCATTCCCTGGCTCCTGGATCAAAGCCATCTGCTGCCACAGGGCTGCCCTTTGGCTCTGGGCCAGGGGTGCTCCCAGAGAGCACCGTGCTGAGGCTCAGCTATGTGCAGCCACATGGAAAGTGTCTGGGGCAGAGCTGATAGGAATTTTTTAAAAAAATAAAACCAAACAACAAAACAACTGTTTTGATACAGTGGAAATTCCCATGGGAAGCATCATCCTTTTTGGGAATTTTCTACAAAAGTGTTTGGGCTGTTGTAAAAACAGAAAAAATACTGTTTTCAGAGTTTTTCAGCACCACCAGCAGAGTGTGTGTTTGCTTTGAATGCAGAAGCTTTCCTTGGTATTCTGGGGGACTGCTCTGTGCTGCAGCCCATGGGTGCATGGCAGCTCTCTGTAGCAAGAGGCACAGGATCACACTTTCGACACTGGTGTTTTGCAGGGCTGCCTCCACCCTGAAGATATCCTGACAGCGTCACCCAAGATGCTGCTGCCTTCATCTGCTCAGCTGCCAGACCTGGGAACACCCCTCTCTGCCCACCACCAAATGCAACTTCTCCAGCAGCTCCTGCAGCAGCAGCAGCAGCAGACACAAGTGGCCGTGGCACAGGTTCTCCCTTCCGCTCTTTCCCGGGAGCAGCGGCAGGGCTGGGGCATGCCACTGACCCCTCACCCCCTTAGTGCTGGTGGAGTATCCCCTGCCTGGAGGCAGTGCTGAAGGCAGGCAGCGACATGGGGAGGGCAGGCTGCCTCCAGGCAGAGGTGCTCAGGTGGTGGCTGTGGGAGAAGCTGAGGCACAGGTTGTGGAGAGGGACCATCTCCTGAGCTGTGCAGCAAGGGGGCAGAAGTAGCAATTTACTCTGGCCCCATCACAAACAATGACGTGCTTAGGTCTGCATGCCACCAAGTTGCTTGATCCTTTGGCCCCTGTCTGCTTCCCAATGCCTGGCTTCAGCATTAGCCCCAGCTGACTGCTGCCTGGGCCATGCAGCTGGTTCTCCATGCAGATATTTCTCATTAAGCAGCTCTGGCTGCTTTATCCAACTCATTACCTTTGTTTTACTTGTTCCCTGACCCCTCACACAACGCTCTGCAATTGCTTGAATTTTTTTCTGGCCTGAGTGACGTGCTCCAGCAGGCTTTCTGTGCTTTCCCACAGCTTTCTTTTTCTCACATCAGAAAATCAGAATTGGTATTTCTGGCCGAGCTGCTGCCCTGAGAACCCACGTGTCTTCTGGGGTCACAGGCTTGGGAAGTTTCTTTCACCTCTAGAAGAGGGACCTGCATCCTCAGGGGATCCTTTATGTTGGCCTGAGTATGGTGTTGCTACAGGCAAAGCTTGTCAGGCAAAACCAAGTCCTTCTGTGGAAGGGACTGCTCATCTTCCGTTCCCAGTCTTTATGTACCTGCAGAGCCTTGCAGTGGCAATTTCTTTTTCTTCCTAATTCCAGATAAAAAAAAAGATCTGAAATACTGTAATGCCATTTCTTGGCTGATTCCTGCGATGGCAGCCAGTGGCCTTGTCCCCCTCTCTCCAAGGGCTGATGCCCTTCTCTGGACCTCTGCTCTTCCCAGGGTGGTTCTTGTCCCAGGAGCTGTCACTTAGCTGCTCTCTAATGCCTTCAGTGCACGCCATGGTGATTTTGTGTCATTGTAATTTATTAATGGAAAGTCTGGGCCCTATCATGTCAAATGCCTTTCAGATTACTGCACACATTACATCAACACTTCTGTCAATGGCACTTGTTGTCTTCTCTCAAAAAGTACTGTGTCAATTTGTCTCTGAACACGTGGTGATGGGCACAGGTTTACTTCTTTACTAACAAAGCTGGGAGATGCACTGTGTTGACCAGGATCTGTGCTTAGTCTTTAGCTATGGGGACCATCCCGTAATTATCTCAGCCTCTAATTACTTGGCTGAGGATGAAATGCAATTTAGTTCCCTCGTTGACCAGACATTTGCTTTTGCAAGGTGTTTCCAGATACCTGTGAAAGTTCCTTCTCTTGAATTAAGGCCAGGAGTTCTTCCTGAGTCATGTCCCCAGGGGGCTGGTGGCACCAGCCACTGCTCCTCTGCAAGACATGATGTTTGGGCTCTGGTCACATCTTCTCCTGCCATCACCTGAGCATCACCTGGCCCCTGCTGCAGGCTCCTGTGATGGAGACAGCTGATGGCTGCGAGGAAGGGTGACTTCCAGGCTAACACTGTCACCACTGAGCTTTGGTGCCCGCTTAGCATTTAAACGTGATTCTACCTCTGCCAGCTCAGCTCAGGGTCTCTGCTTCACCCCACCAGCATTCGTCAGAGGGTCCCCATCCCACCATGCTGCTGTGCCCCACTGTCCTGCCTCTGGCAGGAGGAGGTGACTATGCCTCCTGCAGCAGTGTGGTGAGGTCTCTCACCTGGCTGGGGACCTACAGGCAAACCAAAAGGGCTCTGTGCTTCCTGCTCAGAGTATAAGGTATTGCACACCCCGAGCTTGCTGTGCTTGAACTCTGCTCTTCCAAGGGCACTGCCCTGCCACCTCACTGGCTGTGTTTGGGCAGCTCAGGGAAAGCAGGCAGCACCTCCCTGCCAGCAGACTCAACACTGCCTCCTGGTAGCTATCCAGGAGGGCAGGTGGCCCCCAGCTGTGCTGCTTTTGGGGCCCAGCAGCTCACAGCTTTGGCAGGCTACAAAGAGCTTCTGTAGTTTCTACCCTCTTCCCCGAGGTCACTTTCTAGGCCAAGGTAAAACTATCTTTTTTTTATTTGGGGGGTTGGGGTGTGTTTATGTTTTGGGTTTTTGTTTGTTTGTTTTTAAATACATGTTTTCCTGGTTCCCTAAAAGCCTGGCTGGCTCAGTGCTGGATGGAGAGAGGATCACTTGTAGGAGCTGTGGGTGGGTGGCAGGAAGGGGTGCTGAGCCAGTGTGGACCCCAGGTGGCTCTGCACTGCTGTCCCCTTGTCCAGAGTATGCTCCTGGGGCACTCTCTGCTTGAGCTCAGATGAGCGAGCTGCCCCCGCTGCCCCTGGGCAGGGGCTCCTGTCTGGTCTTGCCCAGCAGTGTCCCACCCTCCCTGGGACACAGTGCTGGTGATATTGAAGCTTGCATATGGGTAGTTATTCCGAAACCAATGGGCTTCTTGCCCTTGGACTCCCCACTGGTTAATGTCCAGGCATTGCTTCCCAGGGCAGAACGAGCAGCCAGATCGTGTCCCCAAAGGCACCATGTCTTAACAGCACTCTGCCATCTGTGTTGCTCCAGGCGTGTCATGCCTGTCGCAGCCAGAGCTGCCTGTAGCTCCGGGGCAGCTCGGATGCTCCAGCCCCTGCTAGTGACAGATGCCGCTGGCAGGACCCTGTCTCTGGGAAGCCTGCCCAAAAAGACAGCTTGGCCAGGGCCAGCTCGTGGTGCATGGCTGTGCCCCCATGCACCTGCAGCACCATCCAGTTAATCGAGCATGTCTTCTCTTCCACATTCACCTGGCTTCCTCCTGGGCTGCGCTTTCCTTGTGCATTTTGTGGCATGTGCCTCCCTTTGCCTCAGCTTTTCCATCAGAGAGGCCAGGGGATCATCACACTGGATGTGCTGTGCCCTGGTGCAACACTGCTGCCTGCCCCACTCTCCCCATCACGTCTGCGGGTGCCTGCTTCCTCATCAAATCATTTGGTGGTATGCTGGCGAGCCCTGATAAACAAGCAGGGGCGGCTGGAGTCAAAGACGCCCTTGAGCAGCGTCTCCCATTCACTGACCCACTCTCCTCCTGTCACACAGGTCCACTTGCTGAAGGACCAGCTGGCTGCGGAGGCAGCGGCACGGCTGGAGGCTCAGGCCCGTGTGCACCAGCTCCTGCTCCAGAACAAGGACTTACTGCAACACATCTCGCTCCTGGTCAAACAGGTGCAGGAGCTGGAACTGAAGCTATCAGGGAACACCACCAGTAAGCGCTCCTGCCCCTTCCTCTCCCCTCGCAGCTAGCTGGGTCTGTGGAGAACATGCATGTTGGTGTTTCTCTTGGGGGGTTTGTGTATTTCCAGTGGTTTTGTGTAGAGGAATAATAGTGCCCTTCTGGCCTGGCTGGCGCGTGTGTGGCAGGGTGCTGCATGGCCGGGCAGTCACGTATGTCCATCGGCCGTATGTCCACTTTCCTCTGTGGCTTCATGGTCTAGGCCAGCTCCTTACCTGCCCAAGAGCCCCTCCTTGACCTTCCTCTCCAGCAGACATGGCCATCAGCACCCTGCAGGAGCTGGGGTGGGAGACAGATAATTTTTTATCCTGCAAAACTGGCTCCTGGTTGGCCAGCAGCAGCTCCTGGCACCACTCACACCAAATAAGCCCTTCTAGACAGCGATGGTGGGGAGGTTGACACCCAAATGGCCCCAGACCATCCTCCTCTGGCCAGTCTGCAGCCAATAGTAGTAGCCAGGGGAGGCAAGCCGGGATGGCACTGCCTGCCTTTCAGCCATGCCCTTCTCTTGCAGCGGGCTCCCAGGACAGTCTGCTGGAGATCACCTTCCGTTCCAATGTCCTCCCAGTCCTCTGCGACCCGACCACTCCGCAGCCTGAGGACAGCCACCCGGCGCCACTGGGTCCTGGCTCGGGCTTCCCCAGTGCTGTGGGCAGCCCCATAGGTAGGAACGACTGTCTGGTGAAGCTGGAGTGCTACCGCTTTCTGCCAGGCTCGGGGCCGCCCCCCCCAGAGCCAGCGCTGGGCAGCCTGGAGCTCATTAAGTTCCGTGAGTCAGGCATCGCCTCTGAGTACGAGTCCAACACGGACGAGAGCGAGGAGCGTGACTCCTGGTCCCAGGAGGAACCACCACGCCTGCTCCACGTCCAGTCCAGGCAGGACCTGGGCGACAGCCTGGAGGACGAGATCGCGGTGTAGGGATCGGCAGGAGGTGGTGCGGAGCAGCCGGGACCCGCTGGAGCTGCGGCGGACCCTGGCTGTAGCCACCTGGCCCTGGCGGGGACAGGACACCCCAGAGGGAGATGGGGCAGAGGAGGGAGCACAAGGCTTCCAGCACATGGCCAGGAAGTGTGGAGAGGTGAGGACAGAGCCGTGCTGAGGGTCTGTGTCAGGTGAGCTCTGCTCCAGCGTGCATGGGCTTGTGTACTGAGCTGGAGCATCCCCACTTTGCATCGGACAGTGAGCTGGCAGCTGCTTGTGCTACCCCCTGGTCCCTGTCCCCCCCGCAAGCTGTGTTTTGAGGTTTGGCAGAAGCCGAGGGACTGCCTGCTGGAGTAGCCACTGCTGCTGGTGGGGAAGCAGTAAAGCAGATAAAAGTTTTTTTCTGGGGGAGTGAGAGCAGGCACGGGGCAGTGAGAGGGACAAGAAGGACTGAGGAGGCAGCACCAGGACAGTGAGTGGAAATGGAGTTGCTGGCAGGGAGTCTGGTGCTCTGCGTGGTGGAGAGGGGGTGGGATGTGAGGCCAGGGCCGTGCTAGCAGGGTGGTTAGGGCTGGTGACGGTGCACTGTTGACATGGGTGCATGAGTGAGGTGAGGCAGCAGGGGACAGGGGGAACAAGTCTGGGAAGGAGCTGAACGGGTGAGCTGAGGTTGCACAGAGTAGCCAGGTACAGGCAGATTCTGACAGAGTGTTTGTGGCACTTCCAGGACAGGGTTTGTCCCTGTCTGAGGCAGGTGGAGGGCGTGCAGGCACTTCCCACTCTCCCGGGCTGTGGAGTGGAGAGGAAGGCACAGCTTGGTGCAGAGCAGGGAGCCAGGGCACACAGCACGGTGCTGTGAAGTGTCCTCCCCCTCATTGTCCAGTCCTTGGGCTCCTCAGCATGGCTTCCAGATTTCAGAGCCTTTCTGTCCTCAAGTCATATTTTCAAGCACTCCCCTGCACCCCCCATCACAACAAACTCTCCCATTTCCAAGCCATTGTTTGGTGCTGGACCAGGGTTGGGGGGATGCAGTGCTGGCATCAGCCATGTGCAGGGATGAGCACATTTGCCACCCCTCGATGGGGAGCAAACTGCTGGTGTCTGCAGGGGGGCTCCATGTCTCTGGTTTGCATCCTTCAGAAAAGTGAATCCCCCACCAGACCCCAATATGCCCATGGCTGAGAGCCATCTGTGGGGGTCTCCAAGGGATCCAGAGTTTGTTTTTTTTTTTCTGCAAGCGTATTTATCAGCTGCCTGTTGCTGCAACCTCTAAGAGGCCATGGCTGAAAGGGGCTACAAACCAGAGTCCTGATGTCACCTCTGCTCCTTGTGGAAATACTCAGTGAGGGGGTGATTGGCACAGTTTCCTTTTCTCTATCCACTTTCCCATCCTGCTTCTGTTTCACTTGTTTCCCCCCTGCTGCTCTCACCTTCACCAGCTCTATCTCTGCTAGATCTGCCTGCAGCTAACCTCTAGCCAAGCATCTCCCAAACACGAGCTCTTGCTCTCCTCCAGGGCTTAGCCCAGATGCTGAGGAAGGTTCATCGCTTCATTCTGCCCCAGACCCCTTGGGACTGAGGGCAGCTGAGGAGTGAGGCATGGGTGAAACCCCCGGGGTTGGTGTGCTACTGACCTGCCACCGCAGGAGGAGGCTGGGCGCTGTGAGGAGCTAGAGAGTGCTAGTAGGAAGGAAGGAAGGACGTTTCAGTGTCCCTAGCAGTGGCCTGGTGTCCAGGGGACCCACCACACCAGCCGCAGAGGGAACAGAGCAGGAGCAGGTGCTGGTTGTAGGGTGTCCCAGATCCTCCTGTCCTCTGGCCACTGATACCTCGGTATTCCCTGTCCCGTGCTGCTGTGTGCCAGGCCCTCTGCTGTGCACCCTGACATCCCACTGCCACCGTGCTGCAGCTGGAGGTGAAGGCATGGGGTGGGGGCCTAGTCCCTGCCAGGAGAGAGGTGGGGATGGCAGCACACACAGGACATGGCGCAGACAGGGTAGGGATGTATGGGTGAGCTTGAAGAGGGATTTCCATGTGGGCAGATGGGTCATGCCAGGAGCTCGGCCATAAGCACAGGGCAGATGAAGGGAGAGCCTGAGAGGAACAGCAGCAGGCAAGAAGCCCCTTCCAGGCTGGGCTGCCTCAGAGAGCAGGCAGGGCTGAACAGTCTCCCCGTGCCACCGCTCCTGCCTATCCCTGCTGCACACGCACAGCCCAGGCAGGGCCCTGCGAGGAGCTGTCAGGACCAGCTGCGGGCTCGGGCTCCTGCCCATCACTCTACCTAGAGTGTGCCCCACAGGCTGAGGGGTGCTGCCAGAGCTGGGTGGGACCCTGCCAGCATCCTGCCGCACCACAGTTGTACATGTGTAAATGATCCTCCTCATAACTCAGCGCTGCCTCCAAGATGCCTCTCTAGTCTCTCACTTTTGTTATGGACCTGGACTGGGGATTTATAGCTATATTTTTTGTCCTTTCTTTTCCTACAACTGTCGTGTTACTAACTGTTGACTCTATCTGGGAAACCAATCTGTCAATGTAAGTGCACTTAACCCTTGGGTGTTGTCATTAGTTGACTGGCTTTTGCTAAATAAATCTTTCTATTTCTCAAGGCTTTCTGTTGTCTCTTCCTTCTCGCTGACTCTTTCTTTCTGTACTTCTCTCCCCCTCCACACTAGGAGCCAGCACTGGTGGTGGTGTCCCTTAGCCTTGCACAGACCCCCCTCCAACCTAAGCATCCTCCCCTGTGAGACCCTTGCTTGTGGTGCCAGCTGCAGGCTGCCCGTGATAGCGAGGTGCCCTGAACATTGCTGGCAGTAGGGGGGTTTCAGCCTTCCCCTTCAGCCACTGCACAGCACCAGCTTGTCTCAGGGCTGATCCAACAGCTCAAGGGTGCTGGTGGCTTCCTGACATCTGCAGAGCTCCCCATGGAGATGTAGAGACGCTGAGCAGCACTTTCAGGGGCTCGGGAGATTTTTGACTGCTGGGGAAGGAAAAGTCGAGAAGAGCCGCTCCTAAAGGATGGCAGAAGTGTTGTGTAGGCAAGAGCAGCAGGCAGACAGGGCTGTCTGCTCCTAAATCAATTTATTCTGTCGCTGTCAGGAGCGATGAAGCAGTGCCCTCCCGTGGCGGCTGCCTGGCTGGTGGGGCTGCATAGGCACCCGAGGGGCTGCAGCCTCCTGTGCCTTGCCCTTCTCCCACAGGGCCTTAAGCCTGCAGTAGTACACCTTGCAGCTGTAGCCCTCCTGGGAGCTGTGCTGGATGTGGGTTTTGGTGGACCACAGCGTGGGGAAGATGTGGCAGCATGACAGGCACTTGTAGCCGTGCTGCGGCTCTGGCTGCCAGTCGGAAACGGTGATGTCCTGAACCGTGATGCTGGCTCTGCTGGTGGTCAGTCTGTCCCACCTGGGGGGCTGGGGCTCATCCGAGGAGCCAAAGGAGAAGCAGACAATCTCTGAGAGGTCATCAGACTCCTCCTGGTGCTCCTGTGTGCTGGTGGCCTGGCTTGAGGAAAGGCTGCCCAGGTGCTGCTGGGTGGCTCCTTTGGTGCTCATGAAATAGCTATAGGGTGAGAACCAGGGCTGGTAGATGTTGCAGATGCGGGCAGGGAGCTCGCTGCCTGGCAAGGCTGCAGGCTCACAGGCTATGAAGGATCTGCAATGAGTTAGGGGTGTCTGCAAGAGCCCGGCCTCCCACAGGGTTGGGAGAGTGCTGAGGAGCCTTCCTTTCTGTCTTCATTAGATGCAGAGGTGGCTGGCTCTGTCCACCCCCTTGTCATGCAGGAGTAGAGATGGGCATAGGATGCTGGCGGGTACCAAGGCACCAGCACAGCACAAGGCTCACCCAGCAGCCCACTGGAGCCATCCCATGGAGAGCTGCACTGGCACAGGGGCGGCGATGGTGGGGCTGAGCTGGCACTCCCAGTGTCAGCACTCACAGCTTTGAGGATTCCTGCTGGGAAGACATGGGGGAGAAACCAGTGTAGCTCAGATGGGGTGTGACTGCAGAATCCCCCCAGGTCCTCAGAAAAGCACCCACTGCCACAGACCCACCCCATCCCCTTTCCCCACCCATGCAGGCGGACATGCTCAGCCAAACCCCTCCACAGCCCATCTGCCCGCAGGCTCTCATGGAGGCTGAGCCATGCCATGGCTGTGCCCAGGAGGTGCAAGGCACTCCCCACAGGCAGTGCCAGCTGTCTGCATCACCTGCCTGGCCACAGCTGGCAGGGGCCAGGCTCACCAGGCAGGCTGGCAGGGCCTGGGGCCTCTGAGCTTCTTGGCCTGGTGCCATGAGGCATGGCCCTCATGGAAACGGAAACGGTGGGCAAGGCAAAAGTTGTCCATCACCCTTTTGTAGCTGGTGTGTGGCTCCTGCACTGTGGCACCCATGCCATCACTGGATGACATCACAAGGGATTGATGTCCCATGTGTGTACGGTGCCCAGCAGGATGCTCCTGGGCAGTGTGCTCAGCTCCTGGGATCTCTGGGGAGCCTGGCCAGCACAAGGGGACAGCTGGCCTGGGCTGGAGAGACAGCCTTGGTGGGGTGGGCAGTGTGGAGCCCAGGCTGTGGGTGCCCCCAGAGAACCCCCTGCTGCTTTGTGAGTGCCTGGCTGATAAGGGTGCCACGAGTCCCATCTCCACAGGCAGCATGGCAGGTCCAGGCAAGATGTGGGTAGCACACCTCTCTCAGCAGCGTGGAAGGGACAGGCCTGCTGTCCCCTTGCCATTCCCTTGGTAAATCCCTTCTCTCTCTCTTTCTTTCCACAATCTGCTTCCCAAGTCGCTTGGTGTCAGGTAAGAGATGCTCTTGGTGTGTTGGCAGTGCCAGCATGGAGCCCTGGGCTCGCTGCTACCCTGTCTCGCCCCATGCTGTCCCCAGTGCATGCACTGCCCTGTGCAGCCCTGGCATGGCCTGGCTGCCCACAGCCTCTGTGGGGCTGCAGGAGCAGCCTCCCTGTCCCCCAAATTATGTTCTCATGCTGCTGGGTTGGGAGCTGGCGGGCAGCTCTGGGATGTGCTGTCCCTGCTGGTGTCCCCGCTCCAGCCCAGCTCACACTCCCTCTCTGTTCCCTTTTCCCCTCCAGTGGACCAGAGCATGTTTGAGAATGCTAGCGCCAGCACGGCACCCACGCCACGGCCACAGCACATCCCCACTGTGGTGGGCGCCCCGGCCCAGCCCTCCCGCCCTGCTGGCAGCCAGCACCTCCGCAACCTGGGCAAGGCTGTGGGGGCCAAAATGAATGACCTCCTGCGCCGCAAGGACCCAGCTGGCCTCCCCAGCATGGGAGTGATGGAGGTGAATGCCAGTGCTGGGGCTGTGCTGTGCACGGGACAGCCAGCCAGCGAGGACGGGTGAGTGTCCCCACAGTGTGCACCCCACAGCAGGGCTGTTGGGGCCTCATCAGCATGGGGCTGTGTGTGACTTCTCCTCTGTTCTTGCAGGGCTTTGGGGCTGGATGCTTTTCCCCGGCTGGACCCCCCGCCCCCTGTCACCAAGAAACGGACACCGCGTGCCCTAAAGACCCCTCAGGACATGCTCATTGCACCACAGCTGGAAGGGACCAGCCCAAGGAGCAGCACAGAGGAGACCCCTGAACCACCCACAGCCAACCCTGACCATTCAGAGGAGCAGCTGGTGACGAGGGACCCATCCTCTCCAGAATGTCCTGGGGTGTCCAGCATGATGGGTACCCCAGGGCCCAGCGGGGACCAGCCCACCAGTGCCTTCCCCGTGCCCGACCTCATCCATAAGGGCAGCTTGGAGAGCCAGTGGCGAGTGGGTGAGAGGGCCACTGAGACCTCACCCCACACGGAGAAGCCCTCCCAGAGACCAGGGCTGGAGCATGAGCTGACAGGGAACACGGCGCGGCCGGAGCCACATACTGCTGGCTGGGAGGTGGAGGGGCCCCATCCTGACCTACTGTCCTTTGAGTAGCAGCAGGGGAGCTGCGACAGGGGGACCGTGGGGGCTGGCTCTCCCAAACATGTTTCTCACCACCACTTGCCATTTTTGGGGTCATTATTTTGGAGAGAGAGGAGCCCCGGGGTGGCAGAAGCTGTTGTTGGCCCAGTGTGGGGTGTGGGGAGCCATGACACCCTACTTTCCCCAAATTCCCCAGCAGGGCACAGCATGTCCCACCATGGCTTCTGCAGCCCCATCCCAGGCCTATTCACCTGTCCTGTCACAGTGCCACCATCCTGCCTGCAGCTAGGGGCCATGCTGAGCTGGGCACCAAGCATGGGCTTGCTCAACAGCCTGGTCGTCTTGCATGGGTGCAGAAGGATCAGCCTGCCCCCAACCCTGTCAGCTCTGCCAGTGTGAGCATCCCACACTATTCCCTACTTCTGCGCTGACTGCCCTGGTCCGGAGGATTTTCTAGCTTAGGCCATGTGTTTGCTGAGATAGCCCATCCCAGCATGCCAGCAGGTTTGCCCAGCCCTAGCACCTGGTGCCAGGGAGCCAGGATGGCAGATGTGCCCACGACCTTCTCCAGGTCTGACCCCTCAGCATTAGTCTGCCCAGTGCCATCTCTCTGCAGCAGACCCCCAGCTGCAGGAGACCCACTCACAGCATGGGCTCTGGTGAGGAGCAGGGCTGGACTCCTGGGGCTGCTGGTCAGTGGGCTCTGATGGGGAGCAGAGCTCCCTGTGACACCTCCCTCCAGCTCCCTCTTGTTTCCTGATCTCACCACAGACAGGCAGCCCACACCATATGGGCCAGCATTGCTGCTCTTTATTTCCTGGGATGGCGACGTCTTTGCAAGACTGGGACACAAAGAAGCCATGTGGTCTTCTGATACTGCTCTGTGATTGTTTCCCCATGAATTATAGGATTCGTGGCCTGTGCACCCCTGGGCCAGTGCAAGGAAGCAGCTGTGAGATGGCACTTTTTGCTTAGAGTTTTTATGTGAATCCTCACTTCAAAGGTGGTTTTGAGCAGAAAAGCTCCAAAGATCAGATTAGATCTGGAGAAGGCTGGGAGCTCATGGTCGGGGCAGCTCTGTGCCTCTTCCTGGGCCACACAAGATGGTTGGACTGAAGAAACGTCTTCCACCACCCAAAGCCATGTTGCAGTCCTGGTGAAGGAAGGAGGCCATGAGCATGGATCTCTTTGTCCTGGGAGCAGCCACCGTGGCTCCTTGCCTGTCGGGCATGGGGGGTGCCATGGCAGTGCCAGGTCTCTGCAGTGCTTGGCCCCTGGGAAGGACCTGCTCAAGAGCAGAGAGCCTGCGGCCCGCTGGCGGTCGGTGCTGAGGTATATAAACACACCCTGTGTATAATGTGATTACACTGTGCATGGGCGATGCTGCCCCACAAATCTATATGAATGAGTATGTATATGTGTGTGCTGCCTAGACCTACACTGCATTGTATACGTTGATAGAAGCAAGGGCATGTAGCCCCTCTTTGAGGAACCAGCATCTTCCAACCCTGCCGATCCCAAGGGAACCTTGCTGCTGGTCCAGTCCCTCTATTTATGTTGTCTAGGGTGTGTGTGTAGTTTGGACAAAAGATGCAGATTGCACAATAAATTTTTTTTTCTTTTTTACCCACTGACATGTAGCAGTCTCTTGATGGGAGGGGAGTGCCTTGATCAGTGCGATGTAGCCCCGAAGCCCCCCCACTGAGGCCGGGGGCCTGCATGGGGGCTGCAGAGCCAAGGAACAAGGAACCGAGGGTTGCTGGGGAAAGGCACCCTCCAGCGTCAGGCGTGCTGGGGCGCTTGCACAGGGTGATGGGCGTGCCGTGTTAAAGCCATGGGGTTAAGGGAATACCCCAAGACAGCGCTGCCAGAGGCCTGACACCCCCGTCCCGGCAGCCACGCCCCGCGGCATAGCCACAGGGAGCCGAGGGGAATTAATTTGCTGGTGCTCAGGCTGAGGGGGCTGACATGGGTGCCCTACGGGGGGACGGGAGCCCCGGTTGGCGCCTGCGTTCGGGAGATGGGACGCCCGGCGACAACGAGGGGCCGAGCCCGGGGACGCT